ATTATTATTATTATTTTCTGCATTTCCCGTCCTTTTTGCGTATCATCTTATTTTATCAGTGATGATTTCCTATAAATGGTGATATAAACTGATTAGATATAACGAGAATAAAACAACTTGCAATCACATTGGAATAATGGTTTTATTATTTAAGTTTATCATCTTATCGTATCTTCTTCACCTTTTCATAAATAATCTTTTCATTTCTTTCTTTCTACCGTATTACAAATAAAATGCATAATGTGAAATTTTTCGCATTTTTTCCCATTTTCAAATTTAAATTAAAACTCAAAATTTAAAATATTTTATTTTTTTTCATCATAAATTATGCATTATTTCGATTATAATGATAGGTAAAAGAAAAAAAAATGAAAAACTAGAAAAAAAAGCATTTATTTTTGTTTTTCATCCAATTTTATTATTTTAAATTAATTTTTGAAAATTAATCTTTTTTTTTGTTTAAATTTTTTCGTCTTGTTATTTTTATCATTTAATCATTTCATATTTGTATTTTCAATTTCAAATGAGCCAAGAAAAGAGAAGGAAGTAATTCCAATAGAATATTTTTTTTTTACTTTTCAAAGGAAACGCAAGGAAAACAAAAAAAGAAAAAATAAATAATAACAACCTATTTGTCATATAGATATATATGCATGAATTAGCATTTTAACCTTTTTCCTCTCTTCTTCCTTCTCTTCCTCTTTCATTTCCCTCCTCTTCCTTCTTTCAAAATCCTCTTCTTTTCTTGATATTATTCCGGAATCATTTTCCTTTCCACCTTCCCTTACAATAATCAATCTGTCTATAATTATTTTTATACTTTTTCATTTAATTGTCAATTTTATTTCAACTTTATCCCCATTCATATCTTCAATAATTAACAAATTTCTTTTTTTTTAAAAAAAAAAAACGAATTTCGACGATTTTTTATCATTCTTCTTACATTACGTATTTAGCCTACAGAGAAAAAAAAAAAAAAAGCGAGAAAAAGGAAATTATTTGCTGGATAATTAAAATTCTTGAATTAATTTTATTTTTTCATTTGTTTAAAATCGCAAATTGAAGTGATATTTCATTTTTTAACGTTCTTAAATTATTGCCATATTTCAAAACAAAATATTAAATTGGAATTAAAATTAGCATGAATTGTTATAAATTAAATTAATTTCATATTTCAAGAAAGACATCAAGTTAAAATAGAAATTAGCATATATTAATATATTGAAACTGAAAAAATTTGGAAATTGAAATTAAATTAGAATTAAAGGTTACTAATGATTAGTTTTTAATTTAAAAGGGTACATTTTGATGTCAAAAAGACTTGGAATAATAAATTGCCATAAAATTTGATTAAAAAAAAAATTCATTATGTTTTGAAGAATATTCAATTATTTAATACTCATTTGTTGAAAAATTTATAAGGTTCAAAAACTTTTAAACATTAAAATGTTTTTCAAATGTCAAAATATTTAATATGCAATTGGAAAAAAGAAAAAATTGCAAGCTAATAGTTTTTTTTTCAACTAATTTCAATCTATTAATTTTATTATGCATGTATGATAATTACACGTGAAATATTACTTTCCATCAAGATAATTACACGTGAAATATTACTTTCCATCAAGATAATTACACGTGAAATATTACTTTCCATCAAGATAATTACACGTGAAATATTACTTTCCATTTAGATAATTACACGTGAAATATTACTTTCCATTAATTTTTGCTACGCATATATGATAAACTGCACGTGAAATATTACTTTCCATTTAGATAATTACACGTGAAATATTACTTTCCATTAATT